TTGTCAATGCAATCGGGAACATTGAAATGGAATCGTAACATATTTTGTATAGTGTGTGTTGTTCGTACGTGCAACAGATGGCGCTGTTTTTCAAAAAAATAAAATTTAATCGTTCACAGGTGTGGTATCTAAATAGTAGGTATATAAAATCATGCACGTATATGATTGAACCGTTGTCAAAATTTAAAAAATCTGTGAAGAACTTTCCTAGATTACAGTGTGAGTTGCTCTTATGTCCTACAGATGGTGCTGTTTTTCAAAACAAGCATATTTTTTCCTTTCACAGTTGAAAGTTGTGTGGAAATTTCAAAGCAATCGGTAAAGAGGTTTTGAAGAATTCCCCTCACATGAAAAACACTTGAAAAACACAGTTTTTTTTTTTAACATGTTTTTGTCCCATCACAGACGTGACATCTATGTAGTATGTATATAAAAACCTGCTCAGATGCGAATGGAACGTTGTGTGAAAATTTCAAGGCAATCGGTGTAGAACTTTCGGAGATTAGCGATATTGAACAAACTAACATTTCCATTTTTATTTATATAGATATATATATATATTGCTCCTGGCAGTATGGGCTCGAGTCACTTCTGGGGAGTGAGTTTTCAGTTGCATATATGCCTGGAAAAGCTATACCTGTTTCTGGTAAATTCTTTCCCTAGAGATGGATTGGTCAGGTTTCAGGTATTGGCCTGTACCCTCTCTCTCTCTCTCTTTCTTCTAGTCAGTCTGGTGTTGACAAAGGCTTTAACAGGTCGAAACGTTCACTTCCTTTCACATTTCTCTGTGGATTTTTCGCATATATATATATATATATATATATATATATATATATATATATATATATATATATATATATATATATATATATATATATATGTATATATATATGTATATATATATGTATATATATATATATATTTATATATATATATATATATATATATATATATATATATATATATGTATATATATATATATATATATATATATATATATATATATATATATATATATATATATATATATATATATATATATATATATATATATATATATATGTTGTTCCAGGAGTCAGGATACATGGCCCTAGTTAAAACTATATGTGGAGCAACTTAAAGGCTTACAACACATCTGCAGGATTTGATTGACATGGTTGTTACATAGAATGTGATGTAGGGTCGTGTAGACTTTGTATAGGTTATACTGTTGTTATATGCAGGCATGACCTGATCCACAGTCTTGTCCCATAGTTGGTTAGGACTATGAGGATTGAGTGATGAGCATGCAGGATTGTATCAGTCACATAGAGCATAGAGCAAAGTCTTGTACTAACTGTACAGTAATTTATTTACAGGATCTGCTTCACTTTAAATTTATATAACTTGCATAACTACAACGTACCTGAAAATCTCTTAATTTTCGCAAGCACGCTAAATAGCTGGGGCCTCATAGTTAAAGATGACCAGTATACATACATATAGTTCAACTGTCACAGCATGAACATAATTGGCTACAAGTATCTCTTTCAATTCAGGTTGTATGGGGATCTAGATAACATGTAATGTACATTTCCTGAACAATTTGTATATGTTAGCTTACATCTCGTTTACCATTAAGTGTTTATCTCATTAAACCTATAAATAATTTAATTGAATTATACATTATGCCCAAAATGCTTTGCATACTAATGGGTTTTTAATACGTGCATTATGCACGGTGTCCTAAAACGTAAATGATTTCCAAAATGAAATTAAAAGCTGCACTTCTCTCACCACCCCCCCCCCCCCCTTACTATCCAGCCCAACTTGAGCATAAGAGTGCTTGGTGGGCGGCTTTTAGAGTCTGATGCTTCATGGGCTGGCGTTTTGTCTTTCCATTTTACTTGTCTCACTTTGTGCCCCTGCAGCTGCCTTTACTAATATTGCTGGATCCTTTTTTTACTTCCTCCTGTTTTTTTCTCTCCACCTCTTTACCTTTCTCGTTATTCCTTTCTGCCGACTCATTTCCACTCCTGAACATTCCTTTAGTTGCCTTCTTCTATTCTGATTCTGGGCGAATGCAGATGGCACTCTCTCTCTCATCCGTAGAATTGGAGTACCTGATGTGCTTGAGAGAATGGAAACGTTTGTTAAACCCTGCCTTTGTTGATGAACCTTATCTCGATGGACTGACGGTTCTTAAGGTGACAATTGTCAGGTGTATATCCATGATGCACCCCTCGGAAGGCCCTGTTTTGTCAGGATTCCCGTCCTCTAATTATGGTTTCATGTTGGTTGTAGGGGCACCAAATTCATTATGGATAATTTATAAATTTTTTCTTGTTCATTCTATACTGACTTCTGGCCCTCTTTCCCCCTCTCAGACTTGTGGGGTGGGCGAGCAGGCCCCCAAGTTAGACTGTGATGGAAGAATAAGCTCTGAAGCTCCGGCTATGTCAAGCCTAGACCCGTCTTCATCTATAATTAGTCCTACTGATTCTACCCACTCCCATCTCGCTTCTGTGGCTGCATACTAAGAATACCTTGTTGCATGCCAGCATTGGCACTGTTGTTTTCCTGCTCCATGTTGCAACCGATGCTCGGAAACCCCAAGACTGCCATGATAATCTTAAACTTATCCTTGAGGCCCAGGGCTTTTTTATCCTCTGGATTGACTCCTTTACTCGTCCCCTCATGGTTGTCTTCATTCTTTGTGTATTGTTAAGATCACTTTTTCTGACAGGACCCTCCCATCTTCTGTCATTCTTACGGGTGCTTGGTCTGTTCAGGAGTGCTTCCCCTCTCCACGCCTGTATAATAGGCATTGGCAGTTTGGCCATGATTCTTCCAGGTGCAGCTACGAGGTGTGCAGCACCCACACAAGGAGATGCACCTTGTGTGGGTGAACCTGGGCATTTTCGTACTGGTTGTTCTTCTTTCCAAACTTGCTGCATCAACTGCGGTGAGACCCACACTGCCTTTTCTCGGTCGTGTATCAATTATAAGTTTTAACAGGCTGTCCTCACCCTGAAGCATCGAGATCGTATTTCCCCAAAGCTTGATGCCACGTCTACCATCTTAACTCTTTCTCTTCTATTACTTATGCTCATGCACTGTATTACACTACTGTTCCCCAGTCTCCTTTCCTTCCTTCATTCTCCAATCATTTCCAACCCATGGCCCCTGACACCTCCACCAGCTTCTTGTCTTCTGCTCCTGTCTATTCTATGCCACCAGTTTCCCTCCTCTTTCTCTAACTGTCTGTTCCACCCATCTTTTTCCAGGCGTCTCCTGCTTGCCCAGTTAGCGCCGCTTCTCTCCAGCCTCCTCTTCCTTTTTTCCTCTGTGTTCTCCTTCACTTTTTGATGACGTCTTCCTTCTCAGTCTTCTGTCCCTCCATCCCACCTGTTCCTCCTGGCTGATATCGATCATCCTCCCATTCCTCTTTGTGCTTCTTGTTCCTGTTCTCCCTCTCAGTCTGAGACTATGGAGGCTTTTGCCCAGTATGTTGCTACTGGCACCCCTGTGTCTCAATCAGAAATGTAAATCTGGCTCCTATCCGTCTTCCTCCCCTGCAGGTAAGAAGGCTTCCGTCCTTTCTACATTTTCCTCTACCATCTTGGTTCCTGCTTCTCCTATCTCAGTATTAGAGTCGGCTGGTCTGGCTATGAAAGTTCCCATAGCCCTTGATTCTGTCACTGACTCTGTCCCAGGTGAGGTGCTCCCTGCTCTTTCTGTCAGTGTTTGACCCCTCTTCAGTGCCTCCTCCCTCTCCTGACCCTGTCAGGTTCCCTCTCCTGACCCCTGTCAGGTTCCCTCTCCTGACCCTGTCAGGTTCCCTCTCCTGACCCCTGTCAGGTTCCCTCTCCTGACCCCTGTCAGGTTCCCTCTCCTGACCCTGTCAGGTTCCCTCTCCTGACCCTGTCAGGTTCCCTCTCCTGACCCCTGTCAGGTTCCCTCTCCTGACCCTGTCAGGTTCCCTCTCCTGACCCTGTCAGGTTTGCCTTTGTTCCTTTCTACTGCCCTCTCGACTCCATCATCTTTGCTGAATTTACGTCTACCTCTCAAGCCAGATTTCTCTCCCCCTGTCCCTGATTCTCCCTAGATTCTTTACCTTCAGGTTTCTAGCTTTATTTTTCTTTTTCTTACCCTCTGCTATTCTTACTCTTTGTCTATTCTTCAATGGAATATTCATGGTGTCTTTGCAAATTTTCCTGGGCTTCAACTTATGATTTCTTAGTTTTCACCGCTTTGTGTCTGTCTCAAGGAGCCACTGTTTGGCACTCGTCTTGGCCTTTGGCTATTTTTTTTCCTCCCCTTCCAGCTTTTGCTGGGACCACCATTAAAAATGTTAAGTTACGACCAAAATGCTTTACATATTAGTGGCTTTATTTAATATCCAACCTCTGTATGTACCAATATATGTTTCCCTGTAATATGTTCTTATGTATATTTTATGAATACTTACAATTATTAAAATGATGATTATTATTATTATTATTATTATTATTATTATTATTATTATTATTATTATTATTATTATTATTATTTTTATACTGTGTGAAAAATTGAGTGAATGAAATCTAAGTATAAATGTAAATTGCATGAAATGGTAAAGAATTCTAATGTAAATGATGAAATATCAGAAATTCTTACACTGATCCATTTTTAACTTCTAGTAGATATGTGATGGAAGTATAGGCTGTATAGCACAATTACTTACGGCTATATACAGTATAGCCATTTTCATGAAATTCCAGTTACTAGCTATTATTATGATTCACTATAAGGTGTGCAGATAAATTGTAAAAGCTAATGTGACTCCTCCACTGAGGTTTAAGACCATCCTGTGAGGACAATAAAGTTTGCTGCCTCTGGCAGAAACAATTGTACCGAGTCTGGATGATGATGATGTGCACACATAGGTACAGGGTTGTTGTACAGTGTACAGCAGCAGTTACTATCCTTCCTAATTTTGTTTACAGTACGCTTAAGTAAAGCCATTCAGTAACACACACCTGCAGAATCTGGTCGACGGTACGATCACGCAGGCAGTGTAAGAGGGCCTCGTAGTGACGGTAGAGGTCATCAGGGACTTGGCAGCCCAACTGTCTGGCTGCTTGAACTGCATAATAGACTGGTTCTTGCACTGCTGCCCAGGAACTCAACGCTGACCCAGACATGAGGATAGCTCGCTTGAACAGTCCTGCTCCTGAGTGTATAATCAAGAATGTTAACGTGAAAAACCAAAGATAATATGAAGATTTAAAATACTGTACATTCTTGTATATAACAATCACACTACTGTGTCAGGTTCACAACATGTATTCAAAGATTTCAAATTACTAAACACTGGAAACCATTTACAAAGGCGGCCAGTAACAAGTAAGTCAAGCAGTAGGTAATTAGAAGCAGTTTAGTAACTTTTCAAATTCTTATAGTATTGAAACCAATTTATAATGCTTATCTTCAGGTATACTGCAGATCTCCCTCTCACCATGCAGTTCAACAAAACAAACTACACTTTTCAATATTCTTGCCATTTAATTTACATAATAAATTACTGTATTACTTTCAATTGCAAAAACATAAGAAATGTATTACTGCCCTGCAGGCACATAAAGCAGCAGCAGCAGCAGCAGCAGCAGCAGCACATGGCACTCGTGTGGTCTCTGACAGAACCATTTAACTTACCAGCAGCGGCTGGGGAGATCACCAGGAAGTTGAGGCAGGCGGCACCAGTGCTGTGACCCATGACAGTCACGTGACCTGGGTCACCCCCGAATCTCACAATATTTTCTTGTACCCAATGGAGAGCCGCCAGCTGGTCCATGAGGCCATAGTTGGCCACTGTGGCTCGTCCCACAGGGTCCACATTAGGGTTGAAGAACCCTGCAAGACACATACTCAGGTTAGTAGTTGCAAAGAACTGATAGTTATTGGTACCAGCATCTATAGTGAATAATACCACAACCAAGTTGGGGCCGAGTACATGTAAAAACATAAATGATGGTTATGCTAACATACAATGAAGATATTAATTTAAGGTAGGCAGGTAGATACTAATCTTGTTTCATTTCACAGAACGATACACACGTTAAACATATGTATTAACAAAAACAATGAGTGGTTGAAAGTGCAGTGGTCATTGTTCCATACACACAGTTTCACACCAAAAACTACATGTGTCTTTGGACATACGGTATGTATAATAGTAATGTTATAAGTCTCTGATCAGCTCTGAGATTATACTGTACCGACATGTTTGTTATAATATGCAAACTTTGAGAGGCAAAACTCCTCGTATACATGATTTTGGTAACAAAATTATAATTACAAATTCATGTCCATCTTTGAAGAAGCCATGTAAAATTCTTTATGTCAGATTATGGCATATAGAAAAACTTGATTTAGTTCATTTAGTGATGCAAAACCCCCTTGGAACAAAAGTTCCAAATTCCACTTGGAACTTTTGTTCCGAGTAGCTGAATCCAATACAACAAAAACAACAACAACTGCACGCAAATTATTAGCACATACAAGGGATTAATAAACTGTTATTACAGCTCTCCACACACATTTCTTTTATATGTTTATCATCATTAACCTTTGCAATATAGCTGAAGGGCTGCCATCTCTACCGCCCTCGACCCTGATGGCAAGCTGACAGCTTCTTGAGAGGTTATCTTGAGATGATTTCGGGGCTTTTTTTAGTGTCCCCGCGGCCCGGTCCTCGACCAGGCCTCCACTCCCAAGAAGTAGCCCGTGACAGCTGACTAACACCCAGGTACCTATTTTACTGCTAAGTAACAGGGGCATAGGGTGAAAGAAACTCTGCCCATTGTTTCTCGCCGGCGCCTGGGATCGAACCCAGGACCACAGGATCACAAGTCTAGCGTGCTGTCCGCTCGGCTGACCGGCTCCCTGCAGGGCAGCTCCCGGCTGCCCTGCTTACTCGTCGGCCTCTCCCTCCACTCTTCGTCGTCTTGATGCTCTTCACCATACTGGGCTAGATCCTAGTTCTGGTGTCTTTCGTTCGACCCTTACCCAGAACCTGAATGTTGAGACCGACATCCAGTCTCTATAGGATCGCCGTGATCGCTATATCTTCGTTACTTTGCGCGGTCTCTACAACACCCTCACTCTCGCTTATGTCGTACTTTGACCATTACCCCTCCAGTGGGCCCTGTTCCCTTTCACCACCTTCCCCTTTCTGTATGGTTGTCTCGCTTGCAAGGTTCTCTCTCTCGGTTCATGTTGCCAATGTTTCTCCGCGTGTCGTCCCGTACCCCTCTTCCTAAGCTTTGTAGAACCATGACCTGCATGACTTAGGCTTTTATTCGCCCTTTTACAGTTCTGAAACGCCTTTTCCTTGCTCTCTATTTTTCACACACTCCAGCACCATCTCCGTCTTCACAGATGGGTCTAAGTCTATGCATTTAAAAGTCTATAATTCCATGCACCAACCAAACCCCGCGTTTATGAATGAAAAACGGTTTACACACGACTCGCAACTGTTTTCGTTCGAACACTTCCGGAACAAGTGCTTCACTGACGAATTTTCTTCGAACTTGCCATAATTTTCTTCGAGCTTGCCATAATGTGGATTTTATCGAGCCTAATTTTAAACTGTCGTATTATCTCAGCATTACATTGGTCCTTTTAAAGGGTCATATTTACCTGAAGGTCACTAATACTAGTGGTCCCGATGAGAACAGGAAGCCACCGTCTTATCAAATGTGCATCCCATTTGCCCTGATGATCTTTTCCAGCTGAATTTTAAAACCCAGCAGAGCTTCGGCGTGTAGGCGGTTCCAAGGGTTTACAATCCTATGGGTGAAAAAGTATCTCCTGTTTTCTGTCCTGCATTGTGGTTTGTTGAGCTTGAACCTGTTGCTCCTTGTTTGTGTTACATCTGAACTTTTAAAGAAATTAACCGGATTGACATCTTTGTCAGCATTTTAAAAAATTCGATGTATATTCAGTAACATACATATGTATGTCACACACACATATATGTAACACATATGTATGTATGTGGCATACATAAAAGGGGCAACGGCCTCAAACTCAATAAGCTGTATTGTAGGGCTGAAAACAGGAGAACTCAAGAAACCGCCTACCCGCCGATGCCGTAATTGTTGAGACATTACTGCAGTTCAAAATCGAATTGGAAAAAATCCTCAGGAAAAAAAGATGGGAAATTTTTTCAAACCGACGGCTTCCTGTCCCCCGTCGCGGCACAAAATAGATGGTGGTCATCAGGTAAATTTATGTAAATTATGCATTTTCATCACATGTATATGATGCAGTCATTATAAGTACATACGTCAAGGGGCCTTAATTACCAGGTTGTAGAAGCTGGGGGCCTTTAACCCTAGGGTGTAGAGGTCTAGGGTCTTAATTACCAGGGTGTAGAAGCTGGGGGCCTTTAACCCTAGGGTGTAGAGGTCTAGGGTCTTAATTACCAGGGTGTAGAAGCTGGGGGCCTTAATTAGCAGGGTGTAGAAGCTGGGGGCCTTAATTACCAGGGTGTAGAAGCTGGGGGCCTTAATTAGCAGGGTGTAGAAGCTGGGGGCCTTTAACCCTAGGGTGTAGAGGTCTAGGGTCTTAATTACCAGGGTGTAGAAGCTGGGGGCCTTAATTAGCAGGGTGTAGAAGCTGGGGGCCTTAATTACCAGGGTGTAGAAGCTGGGGGCCTTTAACCCTAGGGTGTAGAGGTCTAGGGTCTTAATTACCAGGGTGTAGAAGCTGGGGGCCTTAATTAGCAGGGTGTAGAAGCTGGGGGCCTTAATTACCAGGGTGTAGAAGCTGGGGGCCTTAATTAGCAGGGTGTAGAGGTCAAGGGCCTTAATTACCAGGGTGTAGAAGCTGGGGGCCTTAATTAGCAGGGTGTAGAAGCTGGGGGCCTTTAACCCTAGAGTGTAGAGGTCTAGGGTCTTAATTACCGGGGTGTAGAAGCTGGGGGCCTTAATTAGCAGGGTGTAGAAGCTGGGGGCCCTAATTACTAGGGTGTAGAAGCTGGGGGCCTTAATTACCAGGGTGTAGAGGTCAAGGGCCTTAATTACCAGGGTGTAGAGGTCAAGGGCCTTAATTACCAGGGGTTTAGAAACCGAGGGCCTTGCCTAGAGTGTAAAGGCAAAAGGCCTCTCCTAAGGTACAGAAACCGAGGGCCTTCCTAGGGTGCTGAGGCCATTAAGGGTCTTTGCTAAGGTGCCGAGGCCAAGGGTCTTGCCAAGGGTGCAGAGGCATAGGGCCTTCCCTTAGGTACGGAGGCCGAGGGCCTTCCTAGGGTGTTGAGGCCGACGGATTTCCCTAGGGTGTAGAAACCGAGCGTATTCTCTAGGGTGTATGGCCTATGGTCTTCCCTATGGTGTAGAGACCGAGGGCCTTCCCTAGGGTATAGAGGCCGCAGGCCTTCCCAAGGGTGTAGGAGCCGAGGGCCTTCCCTAGGGTATAGAGGCCGAAGGCCTTCCCAAGGGTGTAGGAGCCGAGGGCCTTCCCTAGGGTGTCATCGGTTTGGGTCTTCCCTCGGGGTGCAGAGGGTGAAGGTTGTCCCTAGGGTGCAGAGGCCGAGGGCCTTCCCTAGGGTCAGAAACAGAGGGTCTTCCCTAGGGTGTCATCGGTTTGGGTCTTCCCTCGGGGTGCAGAAGCCGAGGGCCTTCCCTAGGGTATAGAGGCCGAAGGTTGTCCCTAGGGTGCAGAGGCCGAGGGCCTTCCCTAGGGTCAGAAACAGAGGGTCTTCCCTAGGGTGTCATCGGTTTGGGTCTTCCCTCGGGGTGCAGAAGCCGAGGGCCTTCCCTAGGGTATAGAGGCCGAAGGTTGTCCCTAGGGTGCAGAGAACGAGGGCCTTCCCTAGGGTGCAGAGAACGAGGGCCTTCCCTAGGGTGTAGAAGCCGAGGGTCTTCCCTAGGGGTACCTGCTTGATACCTGCTTGAGGTGGTTCTGGGAGTTCTTCTACTCCCCAAGCCCGGCACGAGGCCAGGCTTGACTTGTGAATGTTTGGTCCACCAGGCTGTTGTTTGGAGCGTCCCGCAGGCCCACATATCCATCACAGTCCGGTTGGTCTGGCACTCCTTGATGACAACTATCTAGTTTTCTAGTTGAAGATGTCCACGGTTGTTCCGGCAATATTTCTTATGCTCGCTGGGAGGATGTTGAATAACCGTGGACCTCTGATGTTTATACAGTGTTCTCTGATTGTTCTTCACTAGTTCTATTCTGCATTTTCTTCCATATCGTTCACTCTAGTACGTTGTTATTTTACTGTGCAGATTTGGGACCTGGCCCTCCAGTATTTTCCACGTATATATTATTTGATATCTCTCTCGTCTCCTTTCTAGTGAGTACATTTGGAGAGCTTTGAGACGATCCCAATAATTTAGGTGCTTCATCACGTCTGTGTATGCCGTATATGTTCCCTCTATTTCACAAATATCTCCAGCTCTGAAGGGGGAAATAAGCACTGAGCAGTACTCAAGCCGGGACAGCTCAAGTGATTTGAAGAGTACAACCATCGTGATGGGATCCCTGGATTTGAAAGTTCCCGTAATCCATTCTATCATTTTTTTGGCTGACGCAATATTTGTTTAGTTATGCTCCCTAAACATAAGGTCAGACATCATTATTCCCAAATCCTTTACATGCTGTTTTCCTACTATGGGCATATTTGATTGTATTTTGTACCCTGTATTATGTTTAAGGTCCTCATTTTTACCGTACCTGAGTACCTGGAATTTATCACTGTTAAACATCATGTTATTGTCTGCTGCCCAGTCGAGAACTTTATAATTATCTGCTTGTAGTTTTTCAACAGAGGTAATTTTCATGCTGATGTTTGTGTCATCTGCAAAGGATGACATGAAGCTGTGACTTGTATTTGAGTCTATATC